CAGCCACTCGCTCACAGCAGATGTGGGAGGTATGACTCGGAGTGCACGAGCCAAGGTCCGTTTCTATGCTATTGCGTTGTCCATATTCTAACAGACCGACATGCAAATAGTTGCAGTGGGCTTCTTCTGCTGCTCTGGATCGTTTCGCGGGTATCGAGATCAAAAGCATCCTACGCAATCTAGATGTGCATAACCCATTGAACGCGTTTATGACGTCTCATGATCCACACGTCCGATTCGACGGGCTGGACATGTGGTTGACACCCTCCAAGGCACGTCCTTTGTTTGTGAACTGACAGCGAGACACGCCAATGTAATTGTCCCTCAGGACGGCCAAGGGAACATAATCGCAAACACCTACCGCGCAGCGATCCCATAATTTATTTCGCAGGTATTGTGTCCGAGGTCCGATTTCACGACTCGACTCATGAAGGCGAGGAAGTCCCACCTCCAAGTCCAGTACTCCTCTGTTGGAGTGCGTACGGCGAGGCAAGCGTGGTGCGAGCCTCGGCCGTGTTTCGGGCGGACAAGTCTTGTCGCGCCGTTGACGCGCCTTGTCCCGCCTTGTCCCGCCTTGGCGGATTCACCCCGTTTTGTTTACGAATGCCACGTCTCACTCATCTTGTAGTACGGACGTATTGTTACAAATGTGTACTTAACTCTTTCGATTCACGTTGGCTCACCTCAGTCCCGCGTATAACGCGTGCTGAGGTGAGCATATGCTTGTTACTTATTCTACTTACTCATACTGATTAATACGCTGTAGTTACATTGCTATAGGTATTACAAATATACTAGTCCCGCGTATAACGCATGCTGAGTTACATTGCTATATCCTCGGCATACATGCTGCATGTGCTCAGATCGCACACATGTCCGGCGCAGCGGAGGTCCTGGACGATTTCTACAGGGATGATGGCGAGCGCACAGGTTTGTCTCGCAGCCCATGCGATATGTCCTTGAACCCTTCCGGCGCTGCGGTTCTGGAGCGTGCGTTGAGGAGGGTCCAGGTCGGTGGTGCTTAGGCCTCACAGCATGCTCTCGTTGTTCTCCCACATGTTTGCAACACTCTAGCTGTCTTCTCTCGCTTGTGAGCACTGTTTGTAGATCTTCTGTTATACATGCCAGCTCCGGGACCAGGGCGGAGACGGAGAATATATTCGCAGCGTAGCATGAGTTACATATAAGTGCACATGGTTGAGCTGGGTCGAGGCCAGCTTGGGGTACTGGCGGTGGGGGTTGGCACTCTGCATCAAGTTGTAGTTCAGTGTTGCGGACTCTGGATCGAGGTCGACGGATTGGGGCCGCTCACCTGCTGTTACAAGGTACGACTTGTGAGCCGGACACGCGCACCTCGTCCCGTACACATCCGTTTGTGGCGCTCCCAAGCACGTGACTGAGATTGCGCAAGGAGCACGCCATCGCGGGCAGTGGCCTCAAGATCTGAATATTAATCCTGCACGGATTGCAGCACGGCTCGCTTTCGTACTCTCATCTCATCTCTTCTTTCCAGTGCCTGCTCTTCCTCGTCGTCGTCTGCTCCATCGTCCTTGCCCATACAGTCGAAGCAAGACGTCGTCGTCGACCTTTCCGCGTTCTCGTCTCGCTACCACTTCTCCCGGTCTCAGCGGACCGTGCGCCCACGGAGCTATTGGGGGTAGTCGTGCGAGGGGATGTGTGTTTAAAGGACCGTGTGCAGCCTCTCTCTATAGCCTGTCTATCTGAATCCATCGTACCGGTGTCGTTCTCTTATCTCTTTGTCCCTGCAGGTGCCAGCTAGCTTATCCAGCATTTCCTTCACACTCCTCGGGGTCTCGTTGCGCCTCGCGGCCCTCCCTTCGTTGGCTTATTTCACCCTTACGTCTTGGATGGCGTCTCGATCACAAGAATGCACCCCGTCCGGAACATCCTACAACCCGTGACGGCTGCTCTCCACTCGCGGAGTTCGCTCAAGAAACCAGGTTCCTTTTGCTCCGATCCTCTGGTTCGCCTACTATTCTGTGAGTCATTGCTCTGTGTCTGTACAGTTGTCAAGGCGCAATCGTCCATGGCACCCCCTTTCCCGCATCTATGGCGCCTATTCTGACGACGGATGGTCCCTCGGCGCATCGAGCTGGACAGCCAACCACGCGGCGCCCCTTATCATCGTGGGTCGGGAGATCGTCCTAGGCCTGCTTGCCAATCACCTCTCAACATCGTACATTGGAACACTGTCGAACTGAGCAATCGCTATTACTGGAGCTCCATCACACGTGGGGCAGCATGTTGATTGTTTTGCTGGGCGACGGAGTCGAGGCGCGACACACCAAGCGAACAGCCATTGAGGTGCCGTCTAATCTGCTGTGCTATCTCATGAGCGACATCCGACGCGTAATCCAGGACCCTCCGTTGGCCGTCGCCTCGAGAGCTGATCGGTTGGGGCGTTAGTCTACGTATGTTCTTGCCGTATGTACTGCGCGGTGTCCGGGTTCCTCGCATGTACATAGCCTGTTCTACGCCGTATATAAGACTTTGCACCCTCAGATTATCCTGCAGAACAGTGCGAATCATACATCCGCGACCCATTCCTCAATACACGTCCGCCCGCGATACTCACCGTTATGCGCTCCTCCTCTCCTACTTCATCTTGCGACTCCTACGGGTCCGCCGTATCTACGGCGCCCTCTACTCCCCCTCCCGAGCTAGCTGGCTCGTACTTCCTCGTCCTCCATGACGCCTCTCAGGCGTTCCTCGATGGTCTCCTTGCTAAGGCCAGCAGTGACCGCGTCTTGCTCTGCAAAGGTGCCGGTGCTGTGAAGCCTGTGCTCGAGGAGGCCGCAGGTGTTCTGGGGGACATGGCCGTCGTTGACGATGCACGTTGGGAACGCGTCGTGTCCAACGACAATGGCTCTGAGGCCATATACTACAAGACCAAAGATGTCATTGCAACTATCGACAAGAAGCCGAGCATCGCGTTGGACACTGTCCAGTGCGACTCGAAGCTGGTAAGTCACGACACAACCTTACCATTGATCACAATTGAGCACAACTCGTTGACCACCTCCCACCTCATAGGCACCCCACGCCACAATGCTCAACCTCTTCTGCGAAGCCGGCCTCCGCTCAATCATCGGCCTTCCCTCCCGCTCCGCCAATACCACTACAACCCTGTACATCCTCGAGCGCCCCCCGCTCACCTTTCCCCCATTCTCCAGCACCCCGCGCAGCGCGCCCAACCCCATCGCGAACCCATACACGCTCCCCTCGCTCGCCGAGTTCACGCGCGCGTGGGCGATCTGGGACCTAATCACGCTCGGGATGATCCCCTCCGAGCTGCTACACTCGAAGCCGATCGACCTCCGGCACAAGCCACTGTTCTACATCGGGCACCTGCCGACGTTCGCGAACATCTTGCTGTCAAGGGTCATCGGAGAGCGGGAAGTCGGGCCGAGGCATTACCTGACGACGTTTGAGCGCGGGATCGACCCGAGCGTGGACGACCCGGAGAGGTGTCACAGCCATTCGGAGGTACCGGAGAGGGACGAGGACTGGCCGGTGATTGGGGACGTGTTGGCGTATAGGGACGAGGTGCGGGAGAAGGTCATCAAGAGGATCTTCGCGGAGGTGGAGAGCGGAGAGCGGGCGCTGACGCGGAGGCTCGCGCGGACGATGGTCATGGTGCACGAGCATGACGGGTTCCACATCGAGGTAGGCCTTTCGTGCCCCCTGCTGACATTAGTACTGACGAAGAAGCGTTGTAGACGCTCCTCTATATGCTCATCCAGCGCGCCGGTACGGGTATGCTTCCGCCCCCCGGCTTCGCCCCGCCCCCATGGCCCGCCCTAGCCGCACAGTGGGACGCCATCCCCGCCCCGACGACGCCCACCGTCACGCTCGGCCCAGCGACGATCACAATGGGCCACGACGACCAGGAACCGGACGACCTCCTCCCCGCGCTCGAGCACGACGTCGGCGCGCACGAGTTCGGGTGGGACAACGAGAGCCCCGCGCGCGCCGTGCACGTTGGCGCGTTCCGCGTCGAGTGGCGACCCGTCACGAACGGGGAGTTTCTCGCCTTCTGGCAGGGGCCCGGGAAAGACGTCGTGGACATGCCCGCGAGCTGGGCGCAGACCGAGGACGGGGAGGTGCGCGTGCGCACGCTCTACGGGCCCGTGCCCATGGCGCACGCAAAGCACTGGCCGGTCCTGACGGCGTACGACGACCTCGCGAAGTACGCGGCGCACAAGGGCGGCCGGATCCCGACCGAGCCGGAGCTCCGGCTGTTCTTGGACGCGTACCAGGTCGGCTACGAGGAGGGCGCGAACACGGGGTTCAGGCACTGGCACCCGCTGCCTGCCACTGCAGGTTTGCAGGAGATCGACGGGGGCCGCGGGTCCAATGGAGGCGTGTGGGAGTGGACGGCGACGGCGCTCGACGCCCACCCGGGCTTTGTGGGGACGGGAATCTTCCCAGGGTGAGTGCAGCGTGTGGATGCTCTTGGCCACCGCCGTGTCTGGCGGCGGTGGTTTGCGGCGTGTGGGACGGTTTCCGGGCTTGGGCTAACCACATTCGAATTTGCAGGTATTCGTCGGACTTCTTCGACGGGAAGCACCAGGTCGTGCTCGGGGCGTCGTATGCGACGATCCCACGCCTTGGGGATCGGCGCACCGTGCGCAACTTCTATCAGCACAATTATCCGTATCCGTGGGTCGGTGCACGTGTGGCGTACGACGTATAGGAGGTCGGGTCTTCCTACATATCGTCTCCTGCTGCCGTTCGTAGAGATTTCAATGTCCTAGTGCACACAGCACGACCTTGTATAGTTATATGTCAGTCTTGCGACACTGTGAATATATCCTCCGTCTCCGCCCCAATTTGTCAAGCGACAGTCGACGCATCCAATATCTCGGAGCTGACTGGAATCAGTACTCGTCCAGAAGATCTCACAATGCTCACAAGCGAGAGAAGACTGCTAGAGTGTTGCAAACATGTGGGAGAACAACGAGAGCATGCTGTGAGGCCTAAGCACCACCGACCTGGACCCTCCTCGATGCACGCTCCAGAACCGCAACGCCGGAAGGGTTGAAGGACATATCCCACGCGCTACGAGACAAACTCGTTCGCTCGTCATCATCTTTGTAAAATTCGTCGAGAACCTCCGCCACGCCGGACATGTGTGCGATCCGAGCACACGCAGCATGTATGCCGAGGAGTACTGGACTTGGAGGTGGGACTTCCTCGCCTTCATGAGTCGAGTCGTGAAATCGGACCTCGGACACAATACCTGCGAAATAAATTATGGGATCGCTGCGCGGTAGGTGTTTGCGATTATGTTCCCTTGGCCGTCCTGAGGGACAATTACATTGGCGTGTCTCGCTGTCAGTTCACAAACAAAGGACGTGCCTTGGAGGGTGTCAACCACATGTCCAGCCCGTCGAATCGGACGTGTGGATCATGAGACGTCATAAACGCGTTCAATGGGTTATGCACATCTAGATTGCGTAGAATGCTTTTGATCTCGATACCCGCGAAACGATCCAGAACGGCAGCAGCAGAAGAAGCCCACTGCAACTATTTGCATGTCGGTCTGTTAGATTATGGACAACGCAATAGCATACAAACGGACCTTGTCGTGCGCACTCCGAGTCATACCTCCCACATCTGCTGTGAGCGAGTGGCTGATGATATGCGC